CTGGGTTGTGCAGATCTTCCATTTCTTTTTTCTAGAGCTTTCTGGACTTCAGAACTGCACAGCAAGAACTCAGGACCTAGGGTGGAGGCCAGTGGCCTCGAGTGTGGGCTCCTAGAAGGATTCAGGGTTTTACTCCCAGTGGGAGAATGAGCCCTAGGAAGGATGGGGCCTGGCTTTTGCTTTAAGAGCATCAGCCTGACTGCAGGTGGGAATCTGGCTGTGAGGTGAGGGTGGAGGCGGGGAGGCTGGTGAGGAGGCTACTGCAAGGGACCAAGCAGATGATGGGGCCCAGACCTGAGCGGCGGGTGGGCTGAGAAATGGTCAGTTCCTAGACATAGTTTGAAGGGAGAGCAGAGAACATGCTGATGGATTGGATGTAGAGTCAAGGACAGCTGCCAGGTTGGGGGCAATGAAGCGCTGTGTCCTGAGATGGGGGTCACAGGTGATGAGTGTGGTGATGGAGGAACTACTGGGCTCTGTGGTTGCGCATAGTAGGAGCATCTCACCTGCCCAGAGGGTTGGCAGCTTCTTGGGCCGTTCTCCTGTGCAGAATGGAAAGTCCTTGGGTAAAGCTGTGCCTCCTGCTCTGGCCTCCACGGGCGCTTCCTGGGCTGAGCCTATCCAGCCTCCCAGCCTCCCCGCAAACACTCAGCGCCCTTCTGACCTCCCAGGGAATACTGTCCTGGTGCCCTGTCTTTGCCTGTCCCGTCCACACACCAGGCACGCTCTTGTCCAGGAGCCAGACTCATCCCCATCTTCTGCTGAGAGACCATCAGTGTCCCCCATGTCCCTCAAGATAAAGTCCCGAGGCTCTGGAGGCCTCACGGCCTGGCCGCAGCTGGTGAGGACGGTCTCACTTCTGTCCACCCCGCCAGGCCTCACACTGAATGGCTGAGCCACGCTGCTCCCTTCCTGCCACACACAGGCCCCCTGCTGTCCTCCTGGCCTCTGTGCACTGGCCTCTGTCCTGGGTGGACCCCCCACACGTACCACCCAGGGTCTCCACAGCGCTGGGGACAGAGGCACCTGTGAGCTCTGCAAACCACTCCTGGAGGAGCTAGAGCCACCCCTGCCTCCACCTGGTCACCTCCCACTCTTCCTCCTGAGCTCAGCAAGGACATGACCACCTACCTACTTAAGGGGCTCCCTGTGGCCTCCTGTGCCCTGGCACTGACACCCTCGTGTGTTCCAGGTGTCTCTGTGCCCATTTACAACCCACCTCTCTCAAGGGCAGGGACCGTGCCCCTCGTGTTCACAGCTAATAGCTTCTGAACTCGGCACTGTCCCTGGAAGGGGGCAGGCGCCCAGTAGAGGTTTGCTGAGTGACTGAATGAGCGCCGTCCCTAACCCATGCCGTGCCCAGAGCTCTTCTCTCGCCAAATCCCCGGACCCCTGCTCTCCGTGGGGGCATCTCTGCCTTCTGTTTTGCTTTGTTATTGGCCTGACTTTTCACCTGACTCACCTTCCCAGTTGCACAAGAGGTTCTGGAAGCAAAGAACAGTGAGAGTGTCCATGACAATGACAGTGGCAGTCACAGCTGCCATTAACTGAGCATTTATGGCCTCCTGTGCACCCATCCGTCCCTTTCCATCCTTGATCCCACTCGGTGGTTTTAATTTTTGCAAAAGCCCTATGATTGTTCCCCAGTCCTGTCACAGGACAGGGGTTCCCAGGATCCAGGCTGTGGCGGACTCCGGGGGAGTCCTGTTCAGACTCACTGCTCCCCGAGTCTGTTCAGGGTTCCTACCCAGCCAGTGCTGTTCTCCCCGAGCCACACTCTGAGAACCCCAATTCTAGAGGGTTGTTATCGTCCTGGTCCTCAGGTCCAGGCACCTGAGGCTCAGAGAAGTCATGTGACATTCCCTGGGTCCTGCCACTCATAAGTGTGGGCCCTGTGACCCCAGCCCTGATGGCGGGCGCTCCTCCTCTCTGCTAGCCAACCGCTTTCTGCCTGTTTCTTATTTTTCCAGCGTGAGCCTCCCTAGGAGCTGAGGTGTCACTCACTCCCTCATCTCCAGTGAGCCGGGAGGTGTGCTTCCCGGGCGCTGGCTCTGGCCGCAGCTGGCGGGGGTCAGCCCCACTCCAGGGAAAGGGTGCAGGGGAGGGTGCCACTCCGAGCTCAGAGAGCCTTCAGCTGGTGGCTGGGGAGGGACCAGCTGGCCCTAAAGCCCCCCGGCCCCGGGCTAGGAATGCGCAGGCAGAAAGCGGCGCCTGTCATCCTCCCCGGCTCAGACTCCAAAGTGAGTCTCTGCTCCTTTAATTGGGCACTGGGGTCCGTTCAGTCGGCCATTTGCTCACTTGTCAGACGTTGGCTGCGTTTATTCTTGGGATATTTAGGGCTTTCCCGAGTCTTTCATTGATTCATCTGGACGGGCCCCGCTGGGTGCCTGGAGCCCGAGCTGGGGCATCGCAAAGGAAAGCAGAAAAGGGACGAAGCTGGGCCTGTGGCACTGAGGGTCCGCGGGAGAAGAGCTCATTCATTCATTCAACAAACATCTAGGGAGGGCGGCCACGGGCCAGCCCAGGACAAGGCCAGCGCCTCCCAGGTGAACAGGACAGACCTCGTCCCTCCCCGTGTAGAGCTCCTGGCCTCTTGGGGACAGCTTACCCGACAAGCTGGAGGCTTAATGATGTCTGCAGGGGCTGCTGGGACAAGGGAAGGATGGGGCAGACAGAGAGCCGGTCCAGGGCTCCAAGGCAGGAGCGCTCAACACAAGCTCAGGGCGTGGAGGCCAGAGTCGTGAGGGTGGGAGAGGCGAGACCGAGGCGGTCAGCAGGGCAGACCACACAGCGCCTCTCCAGCCCCATACGAGAGGGATCGCATCGTGTGGCAAGAGGGGTGAGCGGTCTGGGCAGAAAAATAATGTGGCATCTTCTATGCATTTTAAGTGTGGAGAATGCTGGCCACAGTGGCTCAGGCCTGCAGTCCCAGAGACGTGGGAGCTGAGGCAGGAGGATTGCAAGTTTGAGGCCAGCTGAGCCAACTTAGCAAGACCCTGTCTTAAAATAAAAAATAAAAAGGGTTGGGAGGTGGGTGAGTGTCCCTGGGTTCAATGCCCTGTACAAAAAGAAAAAAAAGAAAGAGAGAATGTGGAGAATGGAGGCAGAGAGGCCAGAAAGGAGGCTTGTTTAGGAATTTAGAGAGGAGAGCTGAGAGAGGGAGATGACAGAATGGCTGAAAAAAAAAATTTTTTTTTAATGGAGCTGACCAGCCTTGCAGGAATCAGACCGCAATTTCTCTTTCTTGTACAAGAAGAGAGAAGAATCAAGGATGACTCCCACTTTAGCCTGACTCAGGATGAGTTAGTGCCATTCACTGAGATAGAAAGACCAGAAAAAAAAGTGGATAATTGGTTATAATCTGAAATACAGCTATGAAAGAGAAGAGCTTGAGGTTCTGAAATGGAATTTGAGAGATTCAGTGAAGGTCCCCCCGTGAAAAGACTGTTGAATATAGGATTTGAGGGAAGAGTTGGAGAGAGGCCGATGAAGAGGCAGGAGGGCTGTGCGTGCAGAGGTCCTGGGGCACTCCAGGACCAGCGTTCATTCCAAGTTGGTTGTTGGGCGCCTGTGCCCATTCAGCATGACAGAGCAACGGAAAGCAGAGGTGAAAATATGCAAGGAGGTCTGAGATTGTCACCGAGGGCCAGCCACCATCCCAGCATGGTCAGCAAATCCTTCCCAAGGAGGTGACACCAGAGTTAAGTTTTGAAGGATGCTTGAAAGTTCACCAAGAGAAAAAGCGTGACGGGGTCATTCAAGGCTGTTGTTGAAGCAGAAAACACAAAGCTCGGAGTAGCCAGCATGAAATACTTGGTGGGTGGCTCGTGAGTAAATGAGCGCGGGGGAGTGGAGGAGCCGCGGAGCCAGGCTGCCTGGGACGCTGAGCAGGGCGAGGAGTTGGACTCCAACCAGACAGGCAGCAGGGAGCGGCGGGGGGCTGGAAACCAGGGGGTGGGGGAAGATCTGCATGATCTCCCCCACCAGACGCGTCCCCAATCCTGGAGGGCTGTTCCTGTGGCACGTGGGACATGTCATGCCCCAGAACTGCCTTCTGAGCCAAGCACTCATGCCAAATCCATTAATAACCCGGCTGCCAAGCGCCATTGCTCACTTCTGACACTATCCAGGCGACCGTCCCGTCCCAGAGTCACCAGCCTGAGAACCTAACACGACTCCTGTGGAGCCAGCGGCTCCGTGTGCACATCACCTTGACCGTGACCCCTGTGCGCTGAGCCACAGCCTCCAATGGCCGAACCAAGGGCTTTTTTGATGAACCAAGGCATCTTGGTCTTTCTCTTTTCGTTGTTTAGTCGTAATATATAGGTACTCCTAATACAGAGCATTTGGGAAATATGGGAAACCCAATACCCCCACAAAGACCACTGTGATTGGCATTTGCCCCCCGTTATTATCCACACGTTTTCCACCATTGAGATCATTCCACAGAGATTTGCCTTTTCGGTTATCACTTTAATCATTTGTAACTTTAAAAAAGTATCTTCTCATGAACCTTTTAAACCTTAATCTCTACGTTCACCCTAATTTCCTAAACCGGTCTGGATGGACAGAGCCCAGAGAGACAAACCTCCCTCCCCACACCCTGCCTGGGACCAACGGACAGGAAGTGCTTTGTACATGGAATTTCCCCCCAAAAGTCAAGAGATGGAGACCCCATCCAGGCCCTCCCCCTCCCCCTGGGGCTGTCTTTCCACAGTTCTAGCTCGCCTCCCCCACCTGCAGCCTGTGAAGCACCATGCCTTCCCCGCCCAGTGCATCTTCTGGGTATTATCATCTTTAAAGATCCCTGCCCACAGACATTGAAAAAAAAAAAAAAAAGCAAATGGCAGAGCATTGTTGCCACGTCCTTGTTAGTGAGAGATGGCCCCCTTGTCCAAACATTTGATAAGCAGTTGTATTTCTGCTGTGACTCATTCATCCCTGTCCTCTACCCATATAGGAAGTGGGACTGAAATGTTATTCTTATCGATTTGCATAAGCACTTGAGATAGTGCGGTATTTATATCTGTGTGTCTCTTTCCATTTTAGGTTGCATGAGCCCGAGAAGAACGCCAGGGATATAACCCAGGTACAGTCCTTGGTGAGCCGCCCTTCCTGGGAAACTCAGGGTGTGATTTCCTTGCATCAGCCTGAGTTGCAGATCCGGTTCTAAATTAAGACTCTGTCCCCCACCCCACCCCACCCCCCCTGGAGGGAGGCGGAGGGGAGAGGATCTGTGCATTCCTGATTTCCCCCGCGTACTCTGGAGTACGCGGGCTCCTCCTCGCTGCTCCAGCCAGGAGACTCTGATGTCACCTTGCTTCAGGGTACCACTCCAGTGGGGCGCCGGACACCATGTGTGCTGGGTGGCCTGGTGCCCTGGGGTCGGGCTGTAGCCCTGCATTTGCTCAAGGCAGTCCCCCCACCAGGAGCACCATCCCCATCAGCCCGCTCCCACCTGGGGTAATAGCACAGCGCCAGCCGCCGCCAGGGCCTCTCTAGCTTTTGCTGCTGGAAAGACCCTTTTGTCATGAATTTCCTCCCGCGGGCACCTCCCTAGACCTGGCAGTCCCCCTCAACATCACTAAGGGGACTTCTTAGGCAACGTGATTGGCCTGTTTCTGAGCAAACGAGATCGGCCTATTTCCAGCTGACCTCGTCAGACCTGGGAGGCAGGGGCCCCTCAGCACCTGGTAATGCAGCAGGCCCTGCTCTGAGCCCAGTAAAGGAGCATCACCCGTCCTTGACATTTCCTGGGCGATTGGCATCATTTAGGCATAATGTGTTGAAGAGGTCGGGCTGGGGGGAGGCCGAACACCTCAGCCTGCCCTCCTGACCCGCTGCGGCCCCCACAGCCCTGGGCATGAGATTGGGTGGGAACTGGAAGAGACAGRACYATGTCCAGTCGTGGCCTTCTCCCCAGTCTGGACTTCTCTCTGGAACCTTCTGGGGAAAGGATGATGGTGAGAAGAATTAGTCATGGAAACCTGTAGAAATCACCCTCAAAGACTTAATGAGCACCAGCTTCGTGCCAGGCCCTGGGCAGTAAGCCGGGCAGTCATGACCCTGCTCTGGCCGAGCTGGCAGACCTGAGCCTCGGGCCCTGAGGCTGGGCACCAGCTCTTGCTGGGGAGGGACTCTGGCTGTCCCTGTGGGTTTCGCTGACAGCAGCTGGGGAGCACCTGCAGGGCTCAGGATGGAGGGAACCTGGTGAAGGAGGGCCACAGCCCGAGAGCCAGCAGACCCTGCCCGCTGGGTGATGCCAGATCATCAGGCCCACTTAGGTTTCAGTTTCCTCGCCTGGGAAAGGGCCGGGTGAGGCCTCGGGAGGGGATGTGTGGGAGTGGGTGGTGTCCAGAAGCCTAGGATTGAGATCAGCAGCTGCTGGGCGTGGGCAGAGCAGGCTCTAGTTCACGGGGAGACATTTTAAGGCGCGATGGCCGGTGGTGAGACGAACGTGGGAGGTGTGCGGCTTTGCGAGTGGCTGGCGTGTGTTGGCGGTAAGCGATCGCAGGTGCCAGGCTCGGTTCTGAACGCTCGCCTGGATGCTTCCGCTCGATCCCCACGACAGCCCTGGTGAGAGGCACGATGATTATCTCTGCTTCACAGATGGGGAGACTGAGGCCCGGAGAGATTAAAGGATCTGCCAAAAGTCGCTTAGCTTGAAAAGGCAGAACCAGGATTCAGACCCAGGCCTTCTGACTCCAGAACCTTTACAACACCCACAGCTGATGATCTCACTCCCTCACCACTGCTGTTCTGTCTCTCAGCTCCGGCTGTACCCAGAGTGAGGGTGAAATCATTGCCATCCATTGTTCGCCCTTCCCTCCCTCCATCCTTCCATCCATCCATCCACTCATTAATCCATTTGTTCATCCATCATCCATTCATCTCTCTATTCACCTGTTCATTTATCCATCCATTCATCTGTGCATTTATTCATCCATTTATCCATCCATCCATCAATCCATTCATCCGTGCATTCACTCACCCATTTATCCATCCATTAATCCATCTTTCCACCTATTCATCCATCCATCCATCCATCAATCCATTCATCCATGCATTCACTCATCCATTTATTCATCCATCTACCTAAACATCCATCTATCCACTCACCTATCCCTCCACCTATCCATCCATCCACCCACCTCTCCCTCCACCCATCCATCTATCTACCCACCTCTCCATCCACCCATCCATCCATCCATCCATCCATCCATCCATGCACTCATGTCTTCAACATGCATTGAGCCTCTCCTGTGCCAGCCTTGGTGCCCATATCAACAAAAGTCCAATGAACATTTGCCAAATAAACACATGAATGAATATGAGTATCCCTTCCCATATGGGGATCTATTCAGGCCCCAAGCCGACCCCGTCCTTGGCAGTGGGTACTGTGATGGGAAGCAGGAGAAGGAGCCTGGGCCCAGCCAGGGGCATGGAGGGCAAGGAAGCATCTTAGGATAGAGTCACGCTTGAGCTGAAATGGACTTGGTGGATTTGCGACGAGGAAAAGGAGGGGTGAGAACCACCGGTGGTTCCAGCTGGGAGGAGGGGACAATGAAGGAGGACTGTGGGGGACTGTGCCCGGTTGGTGGTTGAGCAGGCTGGATGCTCCAGAATGACCTTCTCTCCGTGCCTTTTAGATCCAGGACACAAATGACATCAACGACATCACCTACGCCGACCTGAATCTGCCCAAGGAGAAGAAGCCTGCCCCGCGGGCTGCCGAGCCCAATAACCACACAGAGTACGCCAGCATCGAGACTAGCCCGCCCTCCAGGCCGGAGGACACCCTCACCTACGCCGACCTGGACATGGTCCACCTCAACCGGGGCCCCAAGCAGCCAGCCCCCAAGCCCGAGCCGTCCTTCTCGGAGTACGCCAGCGTCCAGGTCCAAAGGAAGTGAACAGACTGTGCTTGGCTCTAGGGGCCTGTCCCCACGAGCTTTCTTGTCCCCCATGGAGTGGTCCGTGTGGAGGACAGCCAGCCCCGTCCCGGGACGGCTGGGTGGCGTCGGTCCCAGGACCAGGAGTGAGGGCGGCTCCCATCTGCCCAGCCCCCTCGGCTCTCCAGCGTTTCCAGGGCAGCCACGGCCCCCACACCCTGCACCCCGTCTGGAGGACTGATGTTGCCGAACCACCTGGGGAACCCGCGGGCGCCACTGCTGGGGACCAAGAACTGTTGTGCCTCTGACGGTCACTCACGGGTCTGGTCGTGGTCTTAGAGACCCTGGCTGCCTCCTTGACGCCCCAGATCCTGCTCTTCCAGGATGAGGAGGACAAGACCCCCCACCTCCTCTTACCACCTCCACCCACTGGGGCTTCTGGGAAATCTTTTCCCTGTAGATCCAACTGCCCCCTCCATGGAAAAAGCTGGAAAAAAATAAAACTGAGACCCGAGTCCTGAGACTCGGAGGTTGCTGCCGACAGTCCTGGCCTCGCCCGCTCCGGGTCCATGTGCCACTCTGGAGCATCTGCCAGCCTCATGGGGCGCTGGGCGCGGCCCGCCTCTCCTCTCAGCCCCCAGCTTGCTTCCCCCCTGGCAGCACTAACCCAGCAGCCTCCCCCGGGGACGCCTGTAAATTATTGAGAAATGTGAACCGTGCAATCTTGAAGCCGAGGTGTTAGAAAACTTGATCTGTGGTGTTTCGTTCTGTTTCGTTTTGTTTTCTTTTTTTTTTTTCTTCTTCTTCTTCTTCTTAAAACAACGGCAGCGTTCTCTTGGCTCTTTGTCATGTGTTGAAGTTCACGGTTGGGTCTTGTGAAGTCTGAGGTTTCACAGTGTGTTGTCCTGGAGGGAATTTTCTTACAGCAGAAACTGAATCCTTCCAAGTCCCAGAGCCCCGAGGACCTGGAAGAAGGATCCATCCGGCTGCTCTGTGGAGACACGTAGCCTTCTCTCCGGGACTCACTGGACCTCGTCCTCAGCGGGGCCACCCGGCGGGGTCTGTTCCCACCGAGGCCCCACGGTGGTAAGTGCAGACCTGTCCAGACCCGATGCCTCCATCTGCTCTTCCATAGAGTGGGAAGAGGGCCGGTGACACCCCTCCCCACCATCTCTCACAAGCACTTTAGGGACATGCACAGGGGGGGACACTGAGCCAGGCTGTTTGCCTCACCCCCTTAGCCATCGCCCCCTCCCCATCCGGCTCTCAGAACTCATTCCTACAAGGAAGAAGCTTCCATTTTTGCTCATGAACGCCATTGGGATCAGACTGGAATAGATCCTGGTCACTACCAGGCAGCCCAGCTCTGAGCCAGGGCAGACCCCCCGCCAGCCCCCCACCCTCTGGTTCAGGAAGTCGGGCAGAGGCTGTGACCCAGTCACCCTCTGACTGCCACCCTTGTAGCTGGGTGCCAGGGCCTGGCTGGGCCCAGGAGCGTAAGTCACAACCCTGGTTATTCAGTTTTCACATATGGCTTGTAGACTTGAGAAACCAATGTCCCTGATCCCCTGAGCCGTGGGAAGCCCATGGCACACCTTGTTGTCTGAGCCAGACGCTGAGCCCGCCTGCCCGACCGTTTCTGCAGGTGCAACACACAGGTGAGACCCGGGGGCTCAGTGCAGACCCGGCTCTCCAGGGCCGGTGACTGGTGTTTTACACACTGTCATCTGGAAGTTTGCTGAGCCAACGGGCCACAAGGGCAGTCTTGGCCTGACAAGCCAGCTCCTCGGTGACATCTGGGAGCCACAGTGGCCCAGTCACCTGCTCTGGCTGTTTCTCAATTCCAAAGGGTGGGCTTGTTACCCTCCGTGTCCCTCTGCTCTGCCCAGAGACAGCACACGTGTGCACACACGCACGCACAGACACACACAGGATTTTTAAAAGAATGTTTTCTTGGTGCCATTTAAATTTTGTTTTACTTTAATTTTGGGAGGGGGAAATAGGGAATGAGGCCAAGGAAGACTGTAGTTCAGTTTCAGCCGGGCAGCCTGGAGAGTCCCCGTACCTTGTGTATGGAACCCCAGGAAAAGGAAGAGGTTGAAATAAACCTGCGGAAGGAGCGTGGTTTCGGGAGTTTATTTTCGGACTGTTGGGAAGGAAACAGGCCCCGTTTTGTATATAGTTGCAACTTAAACTTTTTGGCTTGCAAAATATTTTTGTAATAAAGATTTCTGGGTAACAATGACGACTTTGGGTGCTGTGTGTCCTTGCCTTTGGGATTGTGACTCAGGGCCTCCTTGGAGGCTATTGTCTGCCTGTCCCCAAGATCCTGGAGAGGGTCCCATGTGGCCCAGGCAAGGCTTAGAGACAATCTGCAGTGCTGGCTCCTCTCTCCAGGTGTGGAAGACATAAAACTGTTGGCCTGCCTCAGAGAGAGTCAACGGAAGGTGACAAAAGTCCAACAGACCTCTGGGTTCAAATCCTGRCTCTGCTTTTTGTAGCTRTGGGAGTCTGAGCGTCTCTCCTTCTTGAGATCTGCACCCCTCATCTGCACAGTGGGGATAATTAAGCCCCCTGCTATGGTTCTTGTGGGAATTAGGAGAGGTGACAGGCGCTGAGATCATGCATGGCCCATGGCAGACTCTCACTAAGTGTGCAGCCTCACCTTCCTGCCTCCCCTGCACAGTGGGCCAGCAGCCCCTCCACATCTGTGGACCTTAGRCAARCAGCYCACCTCCCTGGGTCTTCACTCTCCKCCTGGCAAGTGCCARTGTGTAGTAGGTGCTCAAGAAATGGTAGTTCCCTCCCTCCCTTAGATAGTGACACTAGTAATGACAGTTATGCARCAAGGCTAATGCATTAATACGGTATTACTACTCCTTAGTGCTCACTATGCGCTAGCACGGCATGGGGACCTCTCAGATCTGGTAGCTCTACCAGGTCAGTGCTGTTATGGCCCCCATTCGATAAACAAGGCACAGAGAGGTGATGTCATTTATACAAGGTCACAAAGCTAATGGGTGACGTCACTGAGTCTCAGCTCCAGCAATCTGACTTCAGGGCCTGATGCCTACCCACCATGTTGATAGTTAATACGTCACATATTAAGCACCGCCCACAAAATCAACCGTAAGCGCCGATGGGGACGTGGCGAGTTATGTGCCAAATGCTTGAGTTATTCCTCGTTTCATCTCTCAACCACGGAAGGAGGTGGGAACTCCTTCTCCATGCTTTATAAAGGGGAAATAGAAGCCAGGTCACTTCCCGCTCGCTGTCCTGTGGCCAGGGTTTGGGGGCAGGGGCCTGACTCCTCCCAGCACTCTCCTTCAGTGCTCATCAGCCCAGGGACTGTGATTGTGCCCATTTTGCAGAAAAGAGCATTGAGATTCCGGGAGTGCACACCAGTCAGGTTGGGTCTTAACTGGAATCCACAAGCCCATGGGCATCTTCCCCGCGCCCTTGGCCTGGTCCATGTGCTCAGGGACCCCCGGAGCCTCCTGCAGGACTCAGAGGTCGCCTGCATCTCAGGCAACAGAATTCGGCAGGTTCCTGGCCCTCTGCCTGAGTTCAGCTCCACCGGGCCCTTGGGGCCCAGTCCATGAAATCTGCGCGCCACTTGCAGGGACCAGGTGCAACCCAGGAGAAGGGGCGGAGAAAGGCCTCCTTTCTGGGAAGCGGCAGTGATGGATGGCGCATCCAGCAAGGAGACTTGGGGGAGGTGTTTTATGGCGCGCCTGGGCCTCTCTTCTCCACAGCCCAGATCTCCAGGGCTGCAGGTCGGCAGGTAAAACAAAAGTTGATGGGCGCCAAGTGGCCTTTTTCCTGCCTGCTAGGAAATCAGTCAAGCATTTGGCATTTATCGGGCACCTCCCTTGGGGTTCTTCCTCGTGCAGAGGAGCACGCTGCCCCCCCCCATAAGAACCAGCCCCTTGCCCGGGCGGGGGGGGGGGGGATCAGGAAAACCTCCACCCCCGACCCTGAAGAGTGCTCCCCGCGAAAGCCCCCGTCTCTCGGAGCCCAGTCTCAAAGCCAAGAATCACTGAGGCTTGTTTATTTTATTTAACTTTACGTGAGCACATACCTCACATCAGACACTCTCCTAAACTCTGTACAAATATTAACTTATTTAATACCAACTCCCTCCATCCTCTTAACCTCTAAGCTAGACACGATGATTACCCCATTTAATAAAGAAATTGAAACAGATTCAACATCCTGCTCCAAGCTGAGAAGCGAGTCTGGGGATGTGGCCAGCACTGAGCGGGCTTGATGGGGACCAGGGATGGCTGGAGACCCCAGGGGTTCGCAGGAAATGCTCAGGGTGCACCAGACCCTGTGGGAAGCCAGGAAGCCCCACATGGTCTCCTCACTGAAGCTTCGGAGGGTCAGCCTGGTCACCAGCCGGTCAGGGCGAAACAGAGTCTCTGGGGGGCTCTGTCTGCCACTTCTGGGGTCTCCATTGTCCCTTTCCAACATAGAGCTCTGGACCTGGGTCTTGGTTTGTTTTCTGAACTCAAGTTCATGACATGGAAAATGCTTTTTAGAGGGACACGTGTCCCAAGTGTGCAAAAGCTGGGTGACGGGGGTCAGTTTGGCTACCCTTGGAGGGAAGATGGGGAGGGGCCCGGGGACAGGCCGTTCTGTAACTCCAGGGAAAAAATCCCCGAAGCTGCACTCGGCGTGCATCCCCCATACAAAAATTGAAGCTAGACTTCAATTTTTCGCCCAGACTGGTGACCCACCCCACACCCAACCTTTGATGCCTGCCCCATTTTGACAATTTCTTCAAAGCAGCGTCAACATCTTATCTTTGGTCCCTAAACCCAGGCCAGGGTCCTGGTCCAGGTGAGGAGCCCAAGGAGCATCCTCAAGTTAATTTGAGAGATAGCATCCCAGAGACCAAAATAGCACACGAACCAGGGAAAGAAACACAGTGGGCAGGAAGATCAAGGACAGCAGGGACAGACCGTTTATCTGTCATCCCTTCTTCTGCTCAGGCTCCTCTAATTACTCTCCCTCCCACGCAGCCTCGCTCCCCATCCCCCCCCCCACCTCCAGCCTGTGACGTGCAGGCAGATCCTGGCCCTGCGACCTTGGGCAAATGACTTCACCTCTGAGCCTCAGTTTGCTCACCTGGGAAATGGGGAGAGTGGCAGCCTGCACCTCCTCTCAGGGGTCTAGGGAGGGTTCAATGAGAAAATAGGCACCACAGCTTCCATAGTAGTGTGGCACCTGCAGTGCCCAACACCACACCCATACCCCCCCCACACACACACACTCACATCCCTTACCCATGCACCAAGGCCAGGTTGTCACAGGAACCCCACATTGGCTCCTCTCCCCACCTGGCTAAAATTACTGTATCAGGTCCCTGTTTCCCTCCTTAGCCTGAAATGGCTCCCATGTACCAACTTTGGGGACTCACACTGGAGCCTAATTTCAGTGACCTCTTCTCTAAATTCCTGTCTGA